AGTTCAAGTCTGCAGGGAGTCATGATTGTGCCACTGCATTCCAGCTTGGGCAAGAGAGTGAGACTGACTCAAACAAGCAAAATAACCTAGAAAGCACACGTGTTTAACGGATCCTTGATGAGTGATTCTGGGATCTCACCTCCTTAATGGAGGAGTGAAGAGACACAGGGGTTCATAAGGAAGGATACTTTGGGCTGCAAGTAACAGATTACCTGACCCAAAGTGGTTTAACAATAGGGGTTTGTCTTACATAGGAAAAAGTCCAGGGATTGGTTTGTCAACTTAAAAACACCAGAAAAGTTCAGATTATTCCCATCTTTCTACTCTTCCTTTCTTAGCATTTCCCTGATGTCTTTTTTCCAAGCATTCTATTAATCTAAGAAAACAGCCCAAACCAGGAAGTCATGGGCAGGCTTTTCTTAAGAAGGACAGCATTATGGACTTCACAGTCACTTGGATGGATTTAAAGTCTATCATACTCAGTGATCTATCACAGAAACAAAGAACTGAGTACCACATGTTCGCACTCAAAAGTGGACCCTGAACATCTATCATAATACTATAAGAAAGGGATTAGCAGTTGTGGGACACTGACAAATGAGGGAGGGAGGGGGTGCACACATATAATATCCTAATCCAGGCAACAGGAGGTCCGATGGGAGGCCCAAACTTCACTTGTGTGTAGACCACTTATGTACCCAATCCTGACTTGTACCTCATATCTTTAAAATAGAAAATAATTTTTTTTGAAAAAGGAGAAAAAAGATCTCCAAGTAGGTTTTTCTTATATCTCATTGGTTAGAACTGGTCCAAATGCCCACTGTAAACCGACTTTTAGAAAATGGGCATGAGAACCCCATGGTTAGCTTAGACCATGGTTTCTCAACTTCAGCATTGCTGACATTTGGAGATTGATAATTATTTGTTGGAGGGAGATGTCCTGTGTATTATAGAATATTTAGCAGTATCCCTGTCTTTACCCATGAGATGCAATGAGATACCTCATTGCCCTAGTCATGACAACCAAAAATGTCTCCAGACATTGCCAAATGTCTCTGGGGCGGGGGAGGGTGAGAACTGCTGACTTAAACTAATCCCAGCTGACCTTCTGGGCTCAGGCACATTGCTGCCTGAAATCTGAAAGCAATCAAGGTTCTGTTAATCAGGAAAATGTGGTGGTGGTGATGGCTGCTGAGTAGACAATCCACAGTGCCTGTCATTGCTGAATTGGTTCTGGATTGAGGCTTTCCCAAGTAGATATGGGATCAGAATAAGGAAGCAAAGGTGTTTAGAGTACAGGAGAGACTAATTAACTATGATTAATCATGAGATTTAGCCTGGATAAGCAAGAAGATAGGGCCAGGAGGAAGCTGATGGTTGGGGAAAAGCTGATTGTTTGAGGGAGTGGATGAGTTTAAAGAGCAAGTTTAGGATGAGTGAGACTAAGAACTTCAGGAAAGGCCTGGAAAGGGGCCTCATTTACAAAAATTCGAGGAAGTATTTGCAATGGTCGTGGTTTGGGTACCCAGATACAAGCATTGGCTGAACACATCACAGTGAAGAGAATAAAATTCAGCACATATTTATTGAGGGCCTATTTTTCAAACAAGCATTTCAGGAAGTAAAGGTTAAATATTTCCTCTCCAAGGGCAGTGTGTTTAATGCGTCTTCTTGTCCTTAGCTTCATTCTTCATGATGACAACAAGATCCATGGGTATAATTTTTCCATATGGAGTTGAATGTTCTAGTTTTAATATTTTCTCTTCACTTGTCCTGGAAAAAACATCCCCTCATAAAATATATTTAGACTAAAGGTGGATGGAAGGATAAAACAAAATAAACAAATAAACATTAACAACATGGAGAAAGAGCAGGAGTGAGTTAAAGTCAGCTCCAGTCAGCAGGTAAGGATGGCATGATCTCCTAGCATTTTAGAATTCCAGGGCAAGTGTGGTCTTCTTTGGCTTACAGTGGGAGGGTTACTCAAAAATCTAGGATCAATAAATCTTTTTTTCTGATAAATTTTCAGACATAGTGCCACTCCAGAATTTTAGCCCCCAGACATTGGTTTTTGTCTACAGAGAAAGGCTAGACTTGTTGTGTTGGTCTTGCTCCTTGTTTGCATTTTTATTGTCTAGCATAGTGTATGACACCTTGCATTACTCAACAAATATTCTCACAAGTAACCCCAATATTCTCACATGTTACAGTTTGGTTCAACAACCTCAAGCTCCACAGAGGAACCTACATATCCTGTAGCAGCCCATGAGGATAGGGGTTCTTGGCCTAGTTATAAGAGTCCTTGCATGCAAGAAGTTCAAAGTTATATCTTCTCTCCTAGTATTTATGGTTCATTCATAGAACTCCCTGTCTAGATGTGGTTTACCAGTCAAGCAGTACTTTTCCCATAAACAATGTTGCCTGGTTATACAACTGATCTTCTAACCTTATCAAATTTCTAGGAAACAGAGCTAGAAGGTAAATCCAAGTTCAAATTTGTCCTTAGAGAAAGAATTTTAGTTTTAGTAACTTTTCTTTCTGTTTTTACAGACAGGGTCTTGCTCTGTTACCCAGGCTTGAGTGCAGTGGGGTGATCATAGCTCACTGCAGCCTTAAATTCCTGGACTCAGTCTTCAATTCCTAACAAATCTCAGCCTCGTGAGTAGCTGGGACTACAGGTACATGTCACCACCCCCAGCTAATTTATTTTATTTTTGTAGAGACAGGGTCTTGCTATGTTGCCAGGCTTGTCTCAAATTCCGCCTCAAGCAATCCTCTCGCCTCAGTCTCCTCAAGTGCTGGGATTATAGGCATGAGATACCACAACCGACTTCATTAACTTTTTACTTAAACCCTGTGCCTGGAAGAATAAAAAAAATTAGGAGATTCTTTGAATTAAAGCTAACGTATTTTTTAAAGACACATTTGTAGTTATTATTTTATATTTTCTCTATTCAAAGATACACTCATTCAGTTCCCACAATCTCAAGTGATAATAATAAAATAAATTTTCCTTATTTCATTGTAGGGGACAGGTAATTAGAGTGCTAGCAGTTTTAGGAACTATTCTGAATTATCTGGGACATTTATTTTATTCGAGCTATGGGATACATGTGGGGATTTACGATGTAAGTAAAATGGATACAAGTGAGGCTTAGGTTGCTAGTGAGCTCTCTGGTAGTGGACCTGGTACCCACTGTGTGGTGTGTGCCCTAAATTCTTCCCTCCCTCCCTCCTTTAGCAGTATCCAGCATCTGTTGATCCCACCTTTGTGCACATGTGACCAATGATCGGGGCCACTTATTCGTGAGAACATGCGGTATTTCGCTTTTTGTTTCTGTGATAGTTCACTTAGAATGATGGTCTCCAGCTGCATCCATATTGCTGCAAAGGACATGATTTTGTTTTTCCTTATGATTGTATAATACATCATTGTGTATATGTACCACATTTTCTTTATTCTTCCACTTTTAATGGGCATCTGGGTTGGTTCCCTCTTTTTGCTGTTGCGAATAGCGCTGCAGTAAACATACGTGGGCAGATGTCTTTTTGGTAGAGCGATTTATGTTCCTTTGGATGTACTATCTTGGAAATGTACCTATAACAATCTACTCTTGTTGAGAATGATTAAACCTAATGCTAATCTTTTATTGTTGTTGTTGATCACCTGGCATTCCCTAAATCTTTCCTGGTTCCTTTTCCCTTTGGTATTTTTTAAAGATTAAAAATTAATTCACTCCTTCCCTCCAACAAGGAATAGATGTTTCTTTGGTGACCTTGATATTTCTTTTGCTGAGGAGAATCACATGTTATCTCAAGAAATGTTAAAGACAGTTTATCCAAAAAAAAATATCTAAGTTTGGTTTAACTTAAAAACACATATCCTAAGGTTTTTGGTAAGCAGATGTGGTGGGTGTACACATGGGAAGCATAAAATCAAATGAGATAGGAAGAATTTTTTATGGATTTAGAGCTTAGGAGTCCAGAGACTTGTTTTTTTTGTAGAGATGAGGACGAAGTCTTGCTATGTTGCCCAGGCTGGTCTTGAACTCTTGGCCTCAAACAATCCTCCCACCTTGGCCTCTCAATGTGCTGGGATTACAGACATGAGCTGTCACACCCAGTCTTCTTTTTAGAAGTGTATACTATCATTTCTCCGAAAAGGCAAATAGGAAAAAATACGGAGGAAAATCTCAGTTAGTGCTGGAAACTCAGTCCTTGGGGCACTGAGCCTGAGTTAGCTCAGAAGACGAACAGAAGAATGCTAGCAACCAAGCTCTAGAGGTATCCTCTTCCTAACAGAACCATTTCCTCCTCCAGGAGGGTCACAGGACTCCCTGTCTTCCTCCTCTATAATTATGCAGAACAATGGAGGTGAAGTCCTTCTCCTGGAGCCCTTCCATGTGTCTACCAACTCCTCTGGGCTCATGTTCACCGCTCTACAGGAGAGTGACAGGGGCTGGGGAATGATCACTCTGCTATGTCTTTGCTTGTAAATTTTCCCCAGTAGGATTCACAGTTGGATTGTAGCGGTGCTGGTAGTGTGTTTTACCCACACTTCTTTGCATGACGAGAAGATATACCAAACCAGGTTAAGCGCTGTTAGCAAGCAGGGAAGAGCCGCTGAGGAACAATATAATGAGAATGAGGAACTCAAACCAGGCTATCAGGAAAAGGACTCTTCTTCACACACTCCAGGAAATGAGTTTGTACTAAGACTAATTCCCCGGTCCTGCCCTAGGTTGCCCAGGCTGGTGTTGAACACCTGGGCTCCAGCAATCCTCCCACCTCAGTCTTCCAAGTAGCTGGGACTACAGGTGTGAGCCACCATGTCCAGTTTCTCTTTTATTATTATTATTTAACATTGTAGAAATTGAATAAGATGAGTGTATCTTTGAAAAGGGAAAATGTACATTAAAAACTATGAGAGGAAGTTTGGGGTGTCAATAGGCGGTGTGTAAAACATTAGAATAAGTCACACATTTTCTTACCTCACTGGGTTATGAGTCAGGACCAAACTTGCTGGAAAGCGTATATATCCCAGACACAGATTTTGATCTCATGATCCCCCTAATCCAATTTTGGTATTGTTTTCGGACCTAGAATATCAAAGAAAATATCAGGATGAATTTGGTTAACACCGGAGAAGAGGAAAAAGTCATTGAGTCATGAAGAAGACAAGGATGTACTGTTAAATGTCCTTTTCTATAGAATGTGAATCGCATACAATGGAATATTATTTGGCCTTAAAAAGGGAAGAAGTTCTTTTTTCTTATTTTTGAATCAGAATCTCACTGTTGCCCAGGAGTGCAGTGGCATGCTCACGGCCACTGCAGCCTCGACCTGCTGGGCTTAGGCAATTCTTCCTTCTCAGCCTTCCAGGCAACTGGAACTACAGGCATGCACCACCACACCTGGCTAATTTTTCTTGATTTATTGTAGTAACGAGGTCTCACCAAGTTGCCCAGGCTAGTGTCAAATCCCTGGACTCAGGCAATCCTCTTACCTCAACCTCCCAAAGCGCTGGGATTACAGGTGTGAGCCACCATGCCTGGCCAGGGAAGATGTTCTAACACATGCTACACCATGGATGAGCCTTGAAAACTTTATGTTCAGTGAAATATGCCAGTCATACAAAGACAAACATTGTATGATTCTATTTATAAGAAGTCCCTGGAACAGTCAAACTCATAGAGAGAGAAAGTAGAATGGTGGGTGCCAGGGGCTGAGGGAGGGGGAATGGAAGTTAGTAATTACTTGGGACAGAGTTGCAGTTTGCACTTACACATTTTTTTGAGAATGTACTTAATGCCACTGAACTTTACACTTAAAAGTGATGAAGATGGTAAATTTTATGTTATGTATATTTTATCATAACAAAAGTTTTCATATCAGAGAACATCCTTGTTGTAGAAAATTTATAAAATATGCATATGCAAAAGGTAGAAAATAAAAGTTACACATAATTCCTCAGTCTAGTGAAAAATCACTGATAATATTTTGGTGGTAACCTTCCATGTGTCTTGCTTTGAGTTACACTAGAAGCCAACCCTGAGACAAGGGTTCAAGTGTGAGGAGTTTATTTGAGGGATAATTCCCAAGCAACACCAGTAGGGCAATGAAAAGTTAGACAAGGAAGAGAAAGCAGCCAGTAAAGAATGCATAATCAAGGAATCTTCCAGGTTGGGCATGGTGGCTCACACATCTAATTTCAGCACTTTGGGAGGCCGAGATGGGAGGACTGCTTGAACCCAGGAGTTTGAGACCAGCCTGGGCAACATAGCGACACCTCGTCTCCACACAAGATAAAAAAAATTAGGTGGGCATGGTGGCATGCACCTGTAGTCCCAGCTACTTGGGAGGTTGAGGTGGAAGGATCACCTGAGCACAGAAGTTCAAGGCTGTGGTAAGCCATGATCATGCCACTGCATGCCAGCCTGGGTGACAGAGTGAGACTCTGACTCAAAAAAAAAGTTTTGCCTGTGAAAACCTGGACTCAGTGCCATTGGGAAGCTCTAGAGGACAGCATAGGACACACCTCAGAGTCACCCCACCTGAGGGATGAGAGACCTGGCGTATTTATCCACCAGGTCCTGTCAGTCATTGATTGATGGCTGCTCTCAAGGACCCTTCTTCTCTGTTATCACCAGCTTGCCCTGTGTACAGGCCAGACATGTCCTGGGCAGGAAGAGGACCCAGGCACAGTGTTTGCAACCACCAACACAAGGCATATAGAGACAAATGCCCAAGGGCCATGGAACATCTGCTACACCGTTTCCCACCCTTTGCACTATTGACAACTTGGGTTGGCTCATGCTTTGCGGTGGGGCCTGTGCTGGGTGCTGCAGGATGTTGAGAAGCACACCCGGCCTCTACCCACCAGATGCCAGTAGCACCCTTCACCCCAGCTATGACAATCAAACAAATCCCCAGACATTGCGATGTATCCCCTTGGGGGGGGAGCACCATTGCTTCTGGTTGAGAAGAATTCTGAGGTGTCATAAACACCCAAACCACCACCATGCACCACCATGCCTGGCTATTTTAAAAAAATTTATTGTAGAGATGAGGTCTTGCCAATTTGCCCAGGCTGGTCTAGAACCTGTGGACTCAGGTAATCCTCTCACCTCAGTCTCCCAAAGTGCTGGGATTATAGGCGTGAGCCACTGTGCCCGGTCAAAACATGCTTTTTAAATATAGCAATTATTTAACTTTTTGAAAGCTGTTAATAAATGATGTATCTTACAATCAATTGCAATTTTTTTTTGATTCAGAGTCTCACTCTGTTGCCCAGGATGGAGTGCAGTGGCATAATCGAGGCTCACTGCAGCCTTCCAACTGCTGGACTCAAGCAATCCTCTCTTCTAAGCCTTCTGAATAGCTGGGACCACTAGTACATGCCACCATGCCCAGCTGATGTTTTGATATTTTGTAGCGACAAGGTCTCGCTATGTTGCCCAGGCTGGTCTTGAACTTCTGGGCTCAAGAGATGCTCCTGCCTTGGCCTCCCAAAGAGCTGGGATGACAGTGTGAGTCACATACCTGGCCCAATTTCATCTTAAAGTAGAGAAACTATCAGGAGTGTTTTGCACTGATTATAAGCTCATGCGGACATACAGAAAACATGGACTTAAGTGCTCATTAAACTACATGCCTCCAATTTTTTCTTAAGTTAAGAACAACAAAGAAAGAGGTCAGTGTTTACCTGCTGGCTGAGGAGGCAGTAGACCAGGAAGATGAAGAAGCCCTGCAGGGAGTTGATGATGGTGAAGAGGTAGGCCATGACCTGGGCAGCCGGGCCCACCTGCAGGAGGCCCAGACACCACGTGCAGCCCAGGATGAAGAGCTGAGCTATCGCTTTCAGGGTCAGCATCCTGAGAGGAGTCAGAGATGATGGTGTCAAAAAACTCATAATGAACCTGGATACCCAAAAGCGTAGCTGTTGACATTGAGGACTCTGGAGCTAGGCTCCCCGGATTTAAATCCAAGACAGCTCAAACTCTGTGACCTTGGGCAAACTAGTTGCTGTACTTTCTTGGGACGCAGTTCCCTCCTCTTTATATAATAGTCCCATTGAATGAGGTTGCTCTATAGATTAAGGGAGACTTTAAGATAGGAGGTTATTTAGGACGCGATAGAGAACAGAATTAGTAGCATGCATACGTAAAGCACTCTTCAACTGGGTGCTCTTTGTCTCTTCTGTTATTTGTAGAGAGAGGGTCATATAATTTCTTACACAAACAAGAAGGCTTTTGAGATCAAAGGAAGTGCAATGTTCCCAACACAGAGAAGTGATACATGTGTGAGGTGATTGATATCCTAAATATCCTGATTTGATCATTATACATTGTATGCATGTATCAAAATATCACACGCACCCCATAGATATATACAAATATTATATATCAATATAAAGCAAAAATAAAGGAGATACTATTAATAATTACAGTGAGTCAATAGGCATAAATGGAGACTATCCCAGGCAAGCTGAGATATAAAGGCCATCTTATTCACAGTATCCTATACACATCCATATATATATAATATATAATTTGATATATATCCATATTACATATTAGGGATATATATATATATAATGCAATTAGGGATGCATATATCCCTAATTATATTAATTTTATCAATTATTAATATACAATTAGCATTCTATTAATTATATTAATCATATACAATTACTATTATGCTATTTACATTGATTATCCATATACAATTAAAATTATATTACTTATATTAATTTATAAGTTAGTAATTAAATAGAAATTAATGGTTAATAATGCTAAATAATTCCCCTCAAACGGACTTTCACTCACCCACCTGCACACACACTGACACACACACAAAATAATACAAAATAATTAATATTTATATATGTTAAATATATTAATGTATATAATTAATAAGGATAATATTACATATATGAGAAAAGCAGAGGAATGATTTTTATAGTGTGATCCTATTGGGTTTGTGTCTGTTCTATAGAAAGTGCTCAGGAAGAGGTTTGGGAAAATACACATATCCTATCACACACATCACACAGTTTGTTAACTCTGCTTTCCAGGTGAGTGGAAGTAGCAGGAGAAAGGAGAGTTGGTCACTTTCACTTTTTCCTTTATTTATTTCAAAAATTTTTGAAAAAAATGAACAAATTTATCATATTTTTATGATAAAAATGAGAACAATAAATTACCTGCTCAAATTAAAATGGATGGTACAACATAAAAAATTATAACTCAAAATATTTTACTCTCATCCGGGCTGGTGGTGCAATCATGGCTCACCACAGCTTTCAACTCCTGGGCTCAGGTGATCCCTTCACCTTAGCCTCTCAGCTGGGACTACAGGTGTGTGCCACCATACCTGGTCAATTTCTTGATTTTTTTTTTTTTTTTTTGTAGAGATGGGGGTCTTGCTATGTTGCCTGGGCTGATTTTGAATGGCCATCTTGGACTCCCAAAGTGCTGGGATTATGGGCATGAGCCACCAGGCCCAGTTTATTTTATTTTGTTTTTTTTTTTTGAGTCAGGGTCTTACTCTGTCACCTAGGCTGGAGTACAGTGGCAAAAGCATGGCTCACCGTAGCCTCGCTTTCCTGGGCTCAGGTGATCCTTCTGCTTCAGTCCCCTAAGTAGCTGGGACTACAGGTGTGTGTCAACATGCCTGGCTAAGTTATTTTTTGCAGAGATGAGGCCTTGCTATGTTGCCCAGGTTAATACGAAACTCCTGGGCTCATCTCCCAAAGTGCTAGTGTGAACCACTGTACCAGGCCTACAAAATACATTTTAATTTAGATCTATCTTGACCCCATTACACACAACTGGGCACATGCAATTAAACTGGCATATGGACAGGGAGTTTAATTTGTAATTTAAGCATGTTATTCAATATAGATAAATTGGTCTCTATTGATTGGAGTGGGCACAGTTTTTTTGGACATTAGAAACTTCAGTCTTCTAGGGCTTCTATAGAATTTAAGCTTTTTAGTAACTTTGGATAGCAAATTTGAAACGGTTGTTTTTGATTAAAAACAGACTCCTTTATGCATCTTGTGTTATACTGCAGAAACCGTTTTCCCCTTTCTCCTCTTTTTCCATTTAGTCTTAGATCTCTTTCCCCTTTGAGTTTTATCGGGGAACATGGCCACTCGGTCAGAGACATTTCCCAGCCTTTCTTGCAACTGGATGTCATCATGTGACCAAGGTCAGCCAGTGGGATATGAGCAAATGTTGAATGTACAACTTCTATGCCAGCTCCTTCCCATGGATGGGATACTGATCAGGGCAACTCCCTAAGTGATGGCAGAGCAACAAAATAGAAAGAACCTGAGTCCCTGGATTACTCTTTGGAGCAGAGTTTTCTCACTAGCCCTGGACTGCTCACCTCTGGATTATGACACGAGAGTGAAATAAACTTCTATTTCCCTTTTTCCTTCCTTCCTTCCTTCCCTCCTTCCCTCCTTTCTTCCTTCCTTCCTTCCTTCCTTCCTTCCTTCTTTCCTTCCCTTCTTTCTTCCCTTCTTCCTTCCTTTCCTTTTAAAATAAAATCTTTTTATCTCAGCAGCTTAGCCTGTACTCTAGCTAATACAGGTTCTCATTAATTGTGACAGTGGAAGATTATGATGGCCTCGCTCTTCTGTGGAGCATGATTGTGGAGTGTATGTAGGAGGGACAAGTAGGTATGGGTAGGGAAAAAGGGAGTGGGAGGTACCATTTGTCACATCCTACCTTGTGTGCTGGATGGTTGACACTTCACTATTGAGGGAGTAAAGCTTTCTTTTCAAAATCCAAAGGGCCAAGAGAAAAAATACTAAATTCATCTGCAGGCAAGACACAGACAATGAAGAATGCAAGTTAAAATAATGCATGGTGTCCACTTTAAGTTGCACACATGCCCTGCCTTCCTGTACATGAGATTGAATTGGTAGCAGGTAGAAAATCAAACCACACAACTGAGAAAATGGATGCCCCTTGTACTATAATGTTTTTTTTTTTGAGTTAGAATCTCATTCTGTTGCCCAGGCTGGAGTACAGTGGTACAATTATAGCTCTTTGCAGTCATGAAGTCCTAGGCTCAAGCAATCCTCCTCCCTCATCCTCCCAAGTAGCTGGGACTATAGGTGCACACCACCGTGCCCAATTAATTGAAACATTTTAATTTTTTTGTAGAGATGGGGTCTTGCTCTGTTGCCCAGGCTGGTCTTGAGTTACCGGGCTCAGGTGATCCTCCCATCTCAGACTCACAAAGCACTGTGATTATAGATGTGAGCCACCACGTCTCGCCCCTTGCACAGTCTTGTACTCAGCACTTCTGATATCTCTTTTTAGATCAGGAACATCAGAGTTACATACTCACACAGCAAATGACACAGACTGGGCCAAGGAAACCCCAGATGAATCCCTGGTCAAGGTCAAGCCAGCATCTGGGGACATTGAGAAAAGAGACACAAAGTGAGATCAGAGAAAGTGACATGAACATGAAATGACATATTTCCATTCAGAGAGCATTTCCAATTCCTCCTGAAAGTCAACTGATGACAACCACGGTTTTGATTGCCATGTTAGCATTTAGTTAAAAATTTTATGAGTACAGTCCTGTTGAATTTTACCACGAGCATTGTGAGATTGGGACAACGGGGACAACTGTTATCTTCATTTCACTAATGAGGGACTGAGACTGGAGAAAACAAGTCCCAAATCATGGGAAGGATGAAGCTGTGATTTGAGAGGCTGAAATAGACATTACTATATCAACTGAGATGGATGCAAAGATTAAGCAGGTCCTGGTTGGCAGGGACAATTCCTTCCCTCTCTCCTTCTCTCTTCCCCTCCCTATCTCCTTTCTCCTCCCCCTTCCTTCCCACCTGTCTTCTCTCCCTCCATCTGTCCCTTTCTCCCTCCTTTCTTTCTTTCTTCTTCTTTTGAGGCATGCTATGCCAAACTTTTAAAATCTTACAGCTACAAGAAAAACTACCCTTTCTAAACTACCTAACCGTAGAAGCTCTTGGACCTCTCCTAAGTTTGATTCATAACCCAGATCACTACAACACTGACTGGACAGAGGACCACCTCGTAGTTGCACACAAACGGTCATTGTTTCCTACAAATTACCTTTTGGCATAGAGAGCCAACTTCTCATTTAATTTTATTTTTAAGTCAGGGGTCTCACTTTTTGGCCGGGCTAGAGGGCAGTGGCGTGATCATGGCTCACCGCAGCCTCAAACCCCTGGACTCAGGCGATTCTCCCACCTCAGCCTTCTGAGTAGCTGGAATGACAGGCATGGACCACAATGTCTGGCTATTTTTTTTTTTTTTTGGAGAGACAAGGTCTCTCTATGTTGCCTAGCTTGGTCTTGAACTTTTGGGCTCAAGTGATCCTCCCGCTTTGGCCTCCCAAAATGCTGGGATTACAGGCATGAGGCACTGCCCCTGGTCCCACCTCATTTTAATGCTAAAACCCTGCCCCCAAGTGAACATGAGCTGTATGTTATGTATATGTTTACCCATGGCTCATGTGCTTGGTTCCCCTCATAAATACGTCTAGCTTTGCCCCCAACCCTGCTGAATATATGTTACTCTATTGTGTGATACGACCCTTGAGGAGTAAAGATCAACCTTCTCTTCCAGTCATCCAAGAGGATATCTTTAGCCCATGCTGGAGACTTCCTCTTCCTGGTCTGCACACTGATATCACCAGCCAAGCTCTCCTTTCTACTATTTAGCTATCCTGGTGGTCTTTTGGCTGACACCCCAAAACTCCCTCCTTCCAGAACCTTTCAAACTCTTACCACCACCTCACAGCCTTTTCCCTTTATAAAGGGAAAGTAGAGGCCGGGTGCAGTAACTCACTCCTGTAATCTCAGCACTTTGGGAGGCCGAGGAGGGAGGATAGCTTGAGCCCAGGAGTTCTACACCAGCCTGGACAACATAGCGAGACCTCTTTTCTCCAAAAAAAAAAAAAAATTTAAAAGAAGGGAGCATAGTGTGCATTGGATATGTATATCCCCATCATCATCGTGAATAGTGTCCCCCAAAAGCCTTCTTAGGAAACTGTCCACGACACAGAGTGAGTCAAGCTTACCGGTCTGGGGTTCCATAAAGGTGAGGCTTGGATGCTGCGGAAATGGCCACAATGACAGCTGGGACTCCATAGCCCACAGGAAACATGAACTTCTTCATGAGTCTGTTCCTGCTTGAGTAGTTGACCATCGTTAGGTTCTGAGCGGCGAGAAACAGATGCAGGCCCTCCAGCAGCATCCAGGTGAAGGAGGCCAGGTAGAGGAAATGCAAGGCGCTGGCGATGGTGGTGCACAGCACCTGGGGGAGGAGAAAAAGATGCCTGAAAGGGCTCTCAAGGTGGAGTTCTAGATCCTAGAACCTCTCCTTGTCGTTGGCACTGGGTTCAGAGCACCCAACACCAGACCAAGGGCATTAAAAAGAAAGGTGGCTGGCTGGGCACCATGGCTCATGCCTGTAATTCTGCACTTTGGGAGGCCGAGGCAGGAGGATTGCTTGAGGCCAGGTTTTCAAGATCAGCCTGGGCAACCTAGTGAGACCTTGCCTCTACAAGAAAATAAAAAAGGTAGTCAGGTGTGGTGATGTGCTTCTGTAGGCCCAGCTACTTGGGAGGCTGAGGCAGAAGGATCACCTGAGCTGAGGAGGTTGAGATTATGGTGAGCCGTGAGGGTGCCACTGCACTCCAGCCTGAGTGACAGAGTGAGACTTCAACTAAAAAAAAAAAAAAAAAAAAAAAAAAAAGAAAGAAAGAAAAAAAGTAAACGTTGTTGTTAGTCACCGGGCACCATGGTACCAAACCCTCCAACCTACCCTGGGATTGAAGAGGGTCAGAATATGACAACTCGCCGGGCTCGGTGGCTCAGCCTGTAATCCCGCACCTTGGGAGGCTGAGGTGAGTGGATTGCCTGAGCCCGCGGGTTCTGC